TGTGTTATAAATATGAAGACAATTGATTGAATTATTGGCTTCAAAGTGTCTCTAAATATGAAAGCAAGCAAAAGAACTTGGGTGCTAGCCACGAGTAGGACTTCCTCGGTTGTTATTCCTAGCATAAGGAGACTTATGACTGCTATGATGATAATGACAAAGACATTTACCACCCAATGAAGTTTTTCAAGAGCTCTCTTGGTATCATTCAATGTCAAGGAAAGTGCCCTCCGTTCTCTAAAAGCATTAACCTAAGACGTGTAAAGACATTAAAGCACAAACATTTATCAAGACATAATAGAAGGATCAATTAAAACATAGTGGCTCAGATTGCTATATTCTTACCACCCAATTCTTCATGGCTGATTTGCTAATTTTCTTGCTTTCAGATCCTTTTTCAAACAGACTCATGGTCTTCACCGCCTCATCTTCTCCCATAAATCTCTCAATGTCCTCTAAGTCAATGTGCCTAATAAAATAGTTATATCACAAGCCTTTCAAAAGGAAAAAAACAGTTAAGATTACAATAAACATAGAGAACCGCCTCTAATGTCTAAAATATAGAAAGACCTCGAGGCGACTTTGACCATACCATTTGTTAGTTATGCAACAGACAAGCACAAAATATATTTTGGATACAAGGGTAAGAGAAACAGATCAAGAACATACCCAAATCCAGGCTTAGCAACATTGTCAAATATCATTTTTGCTGCGTTTTTTGCCTCATTTTCAGTTTTAATTTCAGTTGACTTGCTATCTTCTATCTGCTTGTCCAAGGTAGAAAGTGGACCATGCTGAATTATATTCATCAGCCTCTGCATATTCCAAGCAGAAATATTCTTGGGATTCATTTGGTGAAGCTCATCAATGCTTATGCCCCAACTTTTTTTATGTCCTTTCCTAGAAGTTGAGCAGAAAAGTGTACTGGTTTTATCTTGTGGACATTTCCTCATTTTTCCACTCCCTACAATTCCCTTCCCTTCTTCCTCTATTTTTTGGTTCTTAGGTGGCCCTGGAAGTGCTTCAATCACATACTGATTAAATAAAGAATCTAGGATTCTATCAAAGTATGTGCTCTTATGAAATGAAGATGCAAGCACCTTCACCAATAGTGTCTTCACAAGCCAAAACATCAGACTCACCACAACACAAACTAAAACCTTAGTAACAAGTCTAACAATCTTACCATCGGTTTCCTTCACAACCTTCTTATCAAACAAGTACTGCCAAACAATGAAAATCATAACCATCCACAAACTATTTTGAACTATGTTCCTCAATGCATAAACAAAATAAAGAACTCTTTTCCTCAACAGAAAGTTCTTCTCAATGAAAAACACTATTATTCTAACAATCCAACCAGATATCAACCTTCCGGATATAACTACCAAAACCAAGATTTCCCACTTCCATAAGTCAAGTATCCATAGAGTATTCTTTCTTAAACTTGGAAGTGTAAGGGTAGAAATCAAAGCTAGAGTTATCAAAATAAAACCCATCCATTGGAGCAAAACCCATTGACTTTTTCTCTCCTTCTTCATACCTTGAGGTAAGTCTTCTTCGACTAACTGATCCTCCTCCTCCTCTTCATCCCCAAATTTTCCAACTGTATGGTCCATCAACCTTGACTTAGTCTTAACCTTTAACAAGCTATTTTGTCTCTGAAATGGTCTTTGAGGGTGTTGTAAGGAAGCATTCGAGGAGCACCTCACAACCTCATTGTTATCACCAGTGTCCTTCTTTGCCAGTGATTCCAAAGTTGGATTTTGAAGTGGCAGCTCATCAATCTCCACAGAAATGTCACTAGACTCCATTGCTTGCTAACTAAATTAATTTAAACAAATATGCGATAATGTTAATCGAAATTAATTAAGGTAATTAATTAAAGAAAGAGTCCCCTCATATTGGGCCAAAAGCAACAATATCTCACAAGAATAGAAATATATAGAAATTAAACAGTTATAGCCACAAAAAAATGATAAAGAACCACTTAAGGTTATTGCACCCCAACAGATATCGCAATCAAATATTAATGGCTTGTAAAATGAAAAACATAGTCACAACCAAATCTAAGTGCACAGTGGATGGAAATTCACCTAATTCTCCATTACCAAGTGCAAACAGTTAGTGCACTCACAAACAAACAAATAAACATGTCAAGAATGTGCATAATGCAAAATATGTGAGGTATGATGCATGTATATGTAAACGTAATGAGGCATGAACATGGCAAAAGATGATGAATGACATAGCATGGGTTTGAAGGGCAATGGGGAAAATGGGAAAAATACCTAACAAAAGACTCAAACAAGGCTTCACCACTCAAAGATAGGAAAGTCAAAAATTCCCTAAATTTAAAGTATTGGGTCGATCCTTGTGAATCCAGAATATGGAAATCAAAGATTCTTATTCTAGGTTCAATCTCTAGTGGAGTTGCCAAACTATTAACATACCTTTACTTTAAATTTCAAAAATTATATTGTCTTGAAAAATAAAGTTTTAATGACAAAAATGGGAGTCACCACCCACTCAAATAAAGTGGAATAGGTCACCATTGGTCTACAAAAGATCGGGGTTCAAAGGTACCATTAGGAGTGAAAAGGGGTATATGTACACCTCACAATCCTTTGTTTAAAAGCATAGTTCCATACTTTAAAATTAGGGAGTTTATTGCAAATTGTTTCCTAAGGTCTTCGATAACTTAACTCAAAAAGGATGGGTGAGATTGAAAGATTTTTTCAAAACTTGGACTCAATTGAATGATACTAGAAATAAGGATGGTGAATTTGAACAAATTAAAAGTAATGGACTAAAGTGAACAGAGTAAGAAAGATGTGGGCCAATAACAAAAATGTGAATTTTACCAATTCCGTTGAATATGGATTAAGACTAATTAAAGAAATTAAGTCCAATTAAGATAATCAATCCTAGTTTACTAAGATTATTTAAAGAAATAAACTGTAATCTAGATAAAATTAGCCAATTTTAATTAATTATAATTAATTAATGTTAATTAAATACTTTAATAGATTTTAAGGGTATTGACCTCATCAAAAACCTAAAGGGTTTTAACCCCTCAACAATATCATTTGAGAGAATCCCTTCTTATCTAATGGATTTGAATTGCACACCTTTAGCTTGACATTGTCTTTATCTTAGTTAAGGACACGTTGGCATCTCTATCTTACTTGGCACACCACCATCGCAGGACCTTAATTCTCTTTTTTCTTTTCTTTTTTTTTTTTTTTTACTTAATATGATAGAGTGGGGCCTATTAAATTGAGAAAGAATTTGCTATTGATTGCCACAATAAACCATTAAATAAGGGAAATTTCTAATACCCTTAAGTTTTTAGATGGGTGCTAATCACCTTAAAATCTATGGTATTAGTCTTAAAAGTAGATTTTTTTTTTTGGGCAAATGGTATTAAAAATAAAATCTACTCTCATAAATTATACAAATTAATAGTAAAAAGATGCAATATATAAAGACCCTAAGAGAATTAACTTTAAAATGAATTTTAATTAATTAGAATTAAATAATGTTAATTAGTTATCTTAATTAGTTCAAATCTTAATTTATTGTAGATAAATTTAAATTAATCTAAATTAATGTTAATTTAAATTAATTAAAGTAATTAATTAAATTAATTAAAACAAAATAATTTATGAGGCCTAAGTTAGTCTATTACTAAAACTTTAACATTTGGGTCTGTTCGGCTTAATGAGAGTTAGGCCCATTTCAATTTATTCCTCTTTTATGCTTTTTTCTGAAAACTCGATAAGGAGTCGGGACGGGCCCAAAACTTAAAATAAAATGGAATAAGACAAAAGGCCCACAAGAAGAGTCGGGTCGAACCGACCCAAATAACATGACCCGGATAAGAAACCGGGTCAAAACGGATTAGACAGAAAAGGTCTGACCAGCTTTCACGTGGCGGGGTCCGGTCCAGTTCCGGTGGGTTCTGGGGAGCTTCCCAGATTCCGGCGATCTTAAAAAATTTCAAAAAAAAATGACAAAAACCCAGGTAAATGGCAACTTTTTGGTATTTTTGTCCAACAGAACCAGCCCTCGGCCAGGAATCTGCAAAACCAGCCCAAATATGCAGTTTCCAGTGACTCTAAAAAATGCAGAAAAAAAAAACCAGAGATTCCAGATGCAATTTTTAAGCCAGGATAGAGGAAACCCAATGTTGAGTTGGTCCTCCACTGGCATTTATGCACAGTTTAACCCAAAAAAAAAAATCACAATCACAGCAGCCGCCATGCAAATCAACCAAAAAGCAATTATATTCAAAACATTCAACACCAATAAACCCAGACATTTCAATAAATCTACCAAATTTACATGGAAATTTCTGGAAAATAAAAGTAAATCCGTACCTAGAATGGTTGCAGTTCTTCTTCTTCTTCCCTGTTCTTACCCACGAACAGAAAGACAGAAAAACTAGATCTGAAGAGAAAATCCAAAAAAAAAAGAAATCCAAAACCCCATATTTATACAAACCCTAAACATCTTCCTTGTTTAATTTACCACCGTAGATATCATCAGCCTTGCCTCTGCGCCGTAGATTAAAGTTTGCCATTGACAATTTCTGGCTAGTGAAAGCGAAAGGCTTCTTAATGGAAGAATGGG